CACACAAAAAGTCATCTTGCACACAGTTTAAAATCTACACTGGATAGTTGCAGTAACCTCCCTCCTAGTCTCAGGCAAATAAAAGACCTGCATTTTTTACCTCATTTTATGGCTCCCGTAGAATGTGAGCCTTCTAAGGGCCATAAAAAGCCAACACATTTGCGATGTGATGTCCTTTACCTGACGCAGGTAGGAGGTGAGGGTGAAGGATTATACTTACGGGAGTTGGCATTGGCGATTTCATTGGTCTCGTTGGGGTCCAACCAGACCTTCTTTTTACCACAGCGCAGGACGCTGGAGGCAAGCCTCTTCTGTAGCCTGAGCATACTGGGGAACACAGAAAGCAGTATTAGTCCCTGGAAGCCACTTCTGGACAACGGCAAACACAAGCAAAATCTTCCCTCCAAAGTCTCGCATATTGTTTAAAAAATACGCATTATTGTCTACACATCGTTACTACTAGGGCCAAATACACTTTCTAGTCCCATGATTCTTGCCATCCCTTCGTGTTCCATAACCATTTCCAAATCAAGATCGTTGCTAAGGCTGTGGGGGGTGCATGCAGATGTAAGAAAACTTAAGTTCGAACTAAGGATCTAAAAGACTTGAGCCCGTTCAGGTATTTAGATGTAGTTAGGATTTGGTGTTAAGGATCAGACAGACACCAATGGATCAGGGCTGTGACGTAGCCTGTTTACCCAGGAGGGCAGGCGCTTGCTGGGTTCTTTGTCACAGTAACAAACGCCGTCCAGCCGTCCTTCCAGTTTGTTACATCCGTCCGATTGGAAGCTTCCCTGGCGGCTCACCCTCGGCAGACGGAGGCCTGGGCTTGCCCAAGACTTGTCCCACGTCACATGGCGGAGGTTCGCTAAGCGCCAGGCACGCCAGGGAGCCACAAGCGGCCCAGATGCCGCCGCTCTACCCGCGCAGTCGCCCGCGTTGCAAGCCGAGCGGAAAGCAGCGCTCGTGGGAGATTCTCTCCAGGCCCCGGCGTCCCGCACCCCACCCTCCCCAGGCCCAGGCCGCGCGTGCTCGCGTCCTCCCCTCGCTCCCCGCGCTGCCGCACCACGCCCGCCTCCCTCTCCTCTTTGCCATCCGGGGTCGTGGCCCTGATCCCCGCCAAACCCCGCCGGACCCATCGGCCCGAGAACCGAGAGCCGCGCGCGCTCACCTCATGGCTGCGGACGCAGCAGCGAAAGGAAAGAGCTTGCTGGTCGCGGGCTCCTCCCATTATCTGAGAAGGGGAGAGCCCAAGCCCGACCCCATGCTCATCTGTATTTCCACTCCGCTGTCTCATCTTATTCCTTCTCATACACATTTAAATCCTTCCTAAAAAATTGTCATCATAGATGCTTAAGGTCTAGAATCGGTTTTAAGCTTTAAAACACAGACGGTGTACCCCTTTCGTCTGGCATAATGGTTCAGTCCAACCTCTCGGCAGACATGCGCAGTGAGGGTATTTGATCACGTGGGTACTTGGGTGGCCGGAAGTCGCACTAAGTCGCGCAGGCGGAGTGAGGAGGGTTTAGCCCGAATGGCGTAGTCTTCGCAGAGGCCCTGTCATCAGTGAAGGCTGTTATTCTAGCTGGGAGAAAATTAGCGAACGAAGCGTTAGAGGATAATGAAAGCAGAAAGCGAGAAAAGGTAACCTCGCGTTCACTCTCTTAGAGGAAGAACTGGTATGCAGGCTAAATCACCAAAAACTTTACCTCGGTACCACTGCAAAGCCCTAATCCCCGGATACCTCCTCCATTGTAGACTGAACCGAATCCTAATTTCTGTCATCCACTTGTGAAAATCATATGCATCTACTTTTACAAGGAAGGCATTAGCACAAGCAAGCGAAACCAATTTTTGGCTCACTGTAGCAAGCACATAGAAGAACTACGTTGACTGAGTAAATGAATTGTCTAAACAACAACAAAAACCCAACGGCTTTGAATACCCCTGAGACATCCAAGGAGAATGTTCTGGGGGGGGGGGGGATCAAGAGTTAAAACATGGCGGTCTGGAGCAGAGAAGCTGACTCCCTTAATTCTAGCAGTTGGGAGATGAGATCGAGGTAGCGAGATAGCCAAGGTGAAGGATTCCAGGCAGTCTGGGCTGCAGAATGAGACCCTGTCTTTAAAAAAAAAAAAAAAAAAGCGCTGAGATGGTAGAGGATTGAGTACTTGCTGCTCCCCCAGACAACTATAGTTGCTTTTCCAGGACCCGTATCTGGTGGCTCACAGCTGCCTGCTACTCCAGTTCCTTGGGATCTGTTGCTGTCTTCTACCGCCTCATGCACCCATAGATAATCAGCCATGCTGGCATGCATGCATGCAAACTCATACACAAAAGTAACCCCTCCTTTTTTTAAAAAAAAAAAAATGTATACAATGTTCTGTCTATGTATATGCCTGAAGGTCAGTCAGAAGAGGGCACCAAACCTCATTACAGATGGTTGTGAGCCACCATGTGGTTGCTGGGAATTGAATTCATCTTAACCACTGAGCCATCCCTCCAGCCTAGTAACCCTCCTTTTAAAAAAGTCCGAGATCAGGAGCTGGGCAGTGGTGGCGCACACTTTTAATCCCAGCACTAGGGAGGCAGAGAAAGGCAAATCCCTGTGAGTTTGAGGTCAGCCTGGTCTACAAGAGCTAGTTCCAGGACAACTAGGACTGTTACAGAGATACCCTATCGCGAAGGAAAAAAAAAGTCTCTTTTTTTTCTCCTTGGTTTTTGTTTTTGTTTGTTTGTTTTGTTTTGTTTTTTTGAGACAAGAGTTTCTCTTTGTAACAGTCCTAGCTGTGCTAGAGCTAGCTCTGTAGACCAGGCTAGCCTCAGACTCACAGAAATCCACCTGCCTCTACCTCCTAAATTCTGGGATTAAAAATGTGCATCACCATTGCTCAGCTGTTCCTATCATTTTCATCTGAATTTTCTAGGCAGTTAAATGAACTGAGAGTTTAAAAGGAAAGGGAGAGGGTGTGGGGAAACATTTATGTACTGCCTCACAAGAATGCAACTTTTTAAAAATCTTCATTTTGGTGGTGATGAACGCCTTCAATCACAGCATGTGGGAGGTAGATGCAAGGCAGATCTGAGAGTTCAAGGCCAGCTTGGTCTACAGAGGGAGTTCCAGGCCAGACACGGCTTCATAATGAGCCATGTCTCAAAACAATCAATCAAAAAGACAAAGAAACAATTCGCTTCACTTTACAACTTAAGAAACAGATCAAGAACACATGTCTTCCTCTTCCTCCTCTTCTGCTGTTGCTGTTTGAGACAGGGTCTGTAGCCCTTACCTGGCCTGAACTTCCTATGTAGACCAGTCTAGCCTCGAACTCAGATCCGCCTGCCTCTGCCTCTTGAGTACTGGGGTTGAGGGCCTCCGCCATCATGCCTCGCTGAGAAGCGCATGCTTCCCTGCTTCCCTCCATGCCAGGCTCTGTTGTCCTTGGTGTGCTGGCGGGAACGCTGCCAGAGTTGGGGATGTTCATGGAAAGACACAAAGTCTCTCACTACTGCTCAATCCTTATCACAAGATGATGTGACCAGAGCGTGAGAATTCACCTGTCAGAATCCAGAGTGAGGAGGAATCCATGTCACCCTGGTCCCCAGTAATGGGGAACACAGAAAGCTGGCTTTATTTTAGGAGCACTTGACCTCGACAAGGCTTTATTTGGCCTCTCTACTGTCTGCGGAGCACAGAACAGGGTGGGGAAGGGAGGAAATGGTCCTCCTGCCACCAAGGACCCTGCACTGCTCCTCAAAGCACCTCCAGAACCTCAGCATCTTTTTTAACTGCCGGGGCGTTTTTGTTTATTCATTGATATTTTGTAACCAGGTCTTTCTATGTAGCTGAGTAGGTGGTTGAGGCTAGCCTCCAGCCCTGATCATCCTGCCCCATACTGAGTGCTGGAATGACTGCTGCACACATCACACCCAGCTTCCAGGCTTTTCCTAGTTCTCTCACCTTGCCAATAACTCCAGTAGACAAAGGCACCATAACCAGCAACACCTTTGATAGGAAAGGAAACTGAAGCAAAGAGACTGGCTTGTTTGTTTGAGATGGGTCTGTCTGTGTAGTCCCTGCTGTCCTGGAGCTCGCTATGCAGCCCAGGCTGGCCTCAAACTCACAGAAATTCTGCCTTTGTCTCCCCAGTGCTGGGATTAAAGACATGCTACACCCCACAACCAGAGCCTAGTTAGCACTGAGTTGCTAGGATCCTACTCCTCCCCACAGGCCTGGGACATTTGTTCCCCAGTCAAGGATAAAAGAAGGACAATCCTAGGTCAACATTCATGGCTTCTGATCTTGAACAGTCTTTCTCCTTCTCTCAACTTCACACTTGCTCCTGTTTCTTTCTGTTCTAAGCAACAGGGATTTTGCCTAGCCTGACCGCTGGGCTTTTGAAAGGGCCTGGGGGAACCTTAGTAACTGATGAGACAGACGCACTCCTGGGTCCCTGGACAGCATTCCTACAGTCCCTATTGGCGTGTACCTTTGGACAGTTATGCCATCCTCAGCCAACAGCCCTAAAGCCAGGCTGGAGAGGGAGGTCTACGCTATTGGTTTCAAGGCGGCCTGGGCCCCACACTGGAAAGAAAGGAGTTAAAGCCAGGTCCCAAGATTACAGGGACCGGGAAGTTCCGGTGGCCCAAGCAGGAATGGTCAGGGAGACCCGTTGGGACAATAGTTTGGGACAGAAAGGGAGGTAGTGCCAGCCCTGCCAACCTGCGCTTCAGCGCTTGGCACTCACTGGTAAACGCCCCCCACCTCCACCTCAGCCTCAAGGCCTGTTTCCCCTTGGTCCCCTGCAGACTGCCCTCATCCTAGGCTAATCGAAGGACAGCGGTCAAGCCCCTCTGGGATCGGGAGGCCAACTGGACTCCGCCGCTCCGCCATTGTCTGCGCGCAACCCGCGGAGGGGCTCCAGGGGCGGGGCCGCGGCGCTGGGCGGGAGCGAGGGAGGGGCGGGGAGGCGGGGGGGGGGGGGGGGGGGGGATGCTGAGCCTTCAGGGGCGGAGGCGGCGGCGACGGCCGCAGAGACGAGAGCGCGAGCCGGGAGGGCGGCAAAGCGGCGAGCGTGCAGCTCCAGGTCCTGCTGGGCGACTGCACCCGGTGCTGGCTGCGCGACGCCGCGCTGCTTTCGGCTTGGACGGCCTCTCCCATGCGCTGAGAGCGTCCGGCTGGGCCGGGCGGGCGGCCGGACGGGAGGATCCTCTCCATGGTCCAGAAGGGCGGCATGTCCCGGGGCCCTTACCCACCCTCCCAGGAGATCCCCATGGAGGTCTTCGACCCTAGCCCACAGGTGAGGGGAGGTGTCGGGCTCAAGGGAAAGGAACCGCTCCTGCGGAGCTTGGGGTTGGCTCAGGAAGCCCCGGGAAGGAAAGGGTTATATGCCCGGCGTGGGTGAAAGAGGGGTGTCTGCGCGACCCCCTATTCTCAAGGTTTAATGATCGATGGACTATTGGTCCGAGCTGGGCTGCGGTCCTGCGGAGAGGAGAGAGGGTGGGCGGGATGCCTGTCAGCCTTGCCTCCCGGTCTCCCCCGCGTTCAGGTCCCTGCTGCTGGGATTCAGGCTCCAGCGGGCTGACAGCGGGGTTGCTGATGGGGGGCGGGGGAAATCCAGGCCTTGAGAAGAGGAGTTGGAGGGAGGCTGAAGAGCGAATCAGGCGACGGGGGCGACGCAGAGCACGTTTGGGGGTGCTAGCGGGTGTGGGTGGGGTGGGGGTAGGACTGGGAGACGGCAGAGACGATGGTCAGAGGGCGTTGCCAACAGGCCTTCGAAGGCTCAGCCGCTGGCTTTCGAAGGTGGGGAAGGGATCAGCCCTGGGAGGCCCTCCCCTAGTCACCTGGTCTCCATCCCTCTCTTGGATGTTTCCCTCCCCCCCCCCAACACCCACATTGACTTACCCCTCCCCCCACCCTAAGGGGTGGGAGCCTCCAAAGTTTGGAAAGTTGGATGGGTGCCAGCTCACTGTCTTTGGAGGGGAGGAAGCTGTTTTACCTGGGGGAGGGGCTCTGCCTGCTCGCATTCTCACTTTTCCTGTACCCTTGCATTACCCTCAGGTAGGGGCATTCCTGGGTATAGAAACTCCCAAAGAATACCAGCAGGGTATGTGGTGGCCATGCCAGGGGATTTCTCTCGGCCTCGTCCTTCTCCAAGGATAGCATTAACTCTTGTATTGCTGTGGCCAGCCTGGAGCAACTGTGAGCTCCATGATGTGGTTATGGGTGTGTATGGGGTGTGTGTGGGGGGGGGGGTCAGGCCAGGCCTAAAAATACCTCCCTCCTCACCCCAGGCCCCTTGGAGCCTGGGAGGCAGCTGACTGATGCCTTCCTTTCAGCTGTCCCCTGTCCCTCTGGAGGCCACTCCCTTTGCTCAGCTTAGTCCGGGTAGTGATGTGAAGAGTCTGAGGTTCTGGGCAGGGTCCTCTTAGGTTTGTAGGGAGCCTCCAGCTAGTTTAGCTGTATGTCCAATCTGAAAGAAGAAGGAAAGAGGATCATGGAAGATTCTTGTTATTTGTGTATACATTGTGTGTGTGTGTGTGTGTGTGTGTGTGTGTGTGTGTGTATTAGGGTCTTATGTAGTTCAGGCTGGCCTTGAACTCCTGATCCTCCTACCTCTACTTTGGAAGTGTGGTGATTACTATGCCTGGCTATCCAGCCTCCTTGTTCGTAGGTCTCAGGAGCCAGAGCCTGTAGTGTGGTTGAGGCTCCTCTAGGTTCTTTGGTCAAAGGAAGTCTGGGATAGAGGCTGGGGGCAGGGGCTCTTGGGCTTTCTGCCCATTCTGTACTGGGCTAAGGCCAAGTGTGTGTGTGTTTGTGTGTGTGTGTGTGTGTGTGTGTGTGTAAAAGAGGTGGCGGGGAGAACGAGAGAGAGCAAAGAAGCATCTCTCTTGTAGGAAACAGAGAAATTGAAGCCTTGGCCTGTACCTTTGGCATCTGAGAGATGAGGCTGAACCCCCACCCCAGTTAAGAGTCCAGCAAGATCAACTGATTAGCCATTTACCTGGGACTGGCAGGATCATGTCCTAGTTTCTGCTTGGGGTGGGGCCAAAGGGGCCTTTAGATTGATGGAGCAGGGTTAGCACCCTGCAGAGGGGCATGGGTGGGATAGGGTGGATTCTACCTTGGGAGGAATGTAAGCCCTGATTATGAGGACAGCGGCTGAGAGAAGGGCCTGGTAAGCTGCGGGGAGAGTGGGAAGATGCTACTCCCAAGGTGCCAGGCCACAGGTTGGATGTTTACTTTCTAGACACGGTTGTGTGCCTCCTCCCTCTTTTCCTTCCCCAGAAATGAGGCTTTGGGTTCTTGAGAGCTGAGTGAGTGCTTTACCCTTCCTACTCCGGAAACAGAAAGCTCACAAGGTGGGCTCAAGGGAAAAGCCAAGCCCAGGGGTTGCTTTCCCTCCTCTCTCTCTCCGGGGGGGGGGGGGGGGGGGGGCACAGCATACTCTGCTGCCTCAGCTCCAAACGCAGGGGAGAAGATATCCCCCTCTCTTCCTCCGCCCCCCAGCACTGCAGGCAGCCTCTCCCTCCCCCCCTCCCAGGCTGGTGCAGCCTGGCCAGCATCTAATTACCTTTGCTGCCTAACGAACCTGCCTTTCTGCAGGCCCTCTGCTTCCCAGCCTTCGGCTCGATTTGGGGATCCCTGTGTGTGCATCCTGGGTGCTCTTGCAAGATTCCTCATGGTGGCTGTTGTCTGTGCGCTGTCAGTGCGAAGGAAGACCCTCTTTCCTTTCAGGCTGGCCATCTCTAGAAGGAGAAGCTGGGAGAGGGGTGGAACAGAGCAGAGAGTGCTGGGGTTAGCTGTAGCACCAGCCCTGGGAGGAGATGAACTGGAAAAGGTCTTTCTGATTTCCCTCTTGTTTCTTCCCCACCTCTCCAGGGCAAATACAGCAAGAGGAAAGGGCGGTTCAAAAGATCAGATGGGAGTACATCCTCGGATACAACATCCAACAGCTTCGTCCGCCAGGTAACGGGATGGTGGCTTGGGAGGGAGATGCAGCTGGTTGGTACAGGCTGGCCTGTGACTTTCTCCAGGCACCGTTTGTCACCTGCCCGGAACCACCACAACACTCTGACACCCCGTGACCTCTCCTGGATGTGCTGTCAGCTGCACCCACTGCCTCAGCCCCCGCCCCCGCCAGCCCCTCCTCCAGCACCAGCTACCAGCCCCTGCTGCCTGCCTGCCTGCCTGCCTGCGTCATCTCATTCAGGGACAGCCTGGCCTGCCTCCTCCTGGCTTGCTTCGGGCTGTCACCCACTCCCCCTGCCGGCTGTCTGCTTCCACGTCCTCCCCCAGAATCTGTGACAGGGTGGGGCTGAGGCAGGTGCTTGGCAATAAGCTGAGCCGCTGAGCCCCGGTTATGTGTGGGTCAGAAACACGTGCTCCCCACTTCCAAATATGACTCCTTAATATTCAGAGAGAGAGCAAAGTATGGGAGAAGAGGTGTTTCACTCTAGAGAGCTCTCGTCTGCAGCCCTAGCTGAAGTGGGTGCTGACAGTAGCTCCCTGGGCCCTCATACTGAGCTGGGAAAACTGCCACTTTCCTCCCTTCCCTCAACCCCAGGCCATCTTAGACTGGGGAGAGGCAGTGAGGAGGCATGTGGTTGCTATGACTACTGAACATCTCAACAAAGCCTGGTACCCAAAAAAGGCAAGAGGGTCTTGGGATCAGACAAGGAAAGCAGTGTGTTAGGCAGAACATGAGAGGGCAGAGGACACCAGATAGGAGGACCCCCTGAGGTGAGCCCCACTAGGGCCCCTGTGAGAGCTAGAGAAGGTGGTAGTAGGCAGAATCACCTCTGACTGGAGCGAGTACTTTCTTTTGGATTCTTCTATCTCTAGGATTTGCACATGTGAGCCCAGGCCTAGCTCCAGAGACTGAAGGGAGGTGGCCTGAGTGTGTCTGAAGCACACAGACAGACAGAAGTCCTTCTGTAATCCTTCCTTCCGCCCCCTGCTCCCGAACGCGGCCAAGGCCAGGTCTAGACAGAACGATGATGTGTTTTTATTGTTACTCAAGGCAGGAAGAGCCTTCGGTTTCCCATTGCCAGCCAAGGGCGTCAGACCCCCATAGCCTCCCGTTCTTCTGTTCTTCCTCCTCTTAGCTCCCCAAATCCTACCCCCGGTAGGTGGCAGGAGTGGGGGGCAGACCTTGCCACATCTCTGAGCTAAATATACCCTAGCAGTTTGCACATGTAGCAACTCTACTTGTAACCTGAGCTCCTGGGGGAACGGGCTGTGTGGGCCACCCCTAGGCCAGCAGGGCCGGGCACTGAGGGCGCCGGGATGGAGGTGCCCAGCCGGACCCTGGTAGTGGTGAGCTGGGGATGGGGCAGGTGGTGGGCGGGGGAACAAACCCTCAAATTGCTGTGGAGGGCCTTTCTCTAGCCCATCTTCTTGCTTCCTGACTTTCCTATCTCCCATTTCTGGTTGTGTGTATGTGTGTGCGTGTTTGTGTGTGTGTGTGTGTGTGTGTGCGTGCATATGCAAGTTTATTGGGGTCAGTGGGTGCCTCTCTGCTTGTCAACTTCTGCTTGTTCCCCTGTCTATCTGGCCATCTGTATTCTTGTTTTGGGTGACTGTGTAACGGGAGAATGGAGGTTCTTTTGCTTCTCCCTTCCCCAGGCTTTGTGTCTCTTTCCAAATCCGTCACCCAACTCTGTTCCAGTGAATCCCCATTCTCAGATTTTTCCCTAGAAAGGTAATGCCAGTACCAACTGATGGCCAGGGGTGCTTGGGGAGAGGTAGGTCTTGGCCTCTTCTCTCCATGCCAAACCAATGGACAGTCCCGGCTGGGTGACTCTTTCCTGCCCTCAGATCCCTCATGTCCCTGTAATCCCAGTCTTCCCCATATTCCCTCCCAGACTTGCCACCACCCTAGAAGTCACAACAAATCCCGCAACCTGTTCTCTGCCATCCTTTATCTCCCACTGTTGGGGACATAGACCTCAGGGTTTCCCTTGGTGACTCGATTGTCCACACCCGGTACATACTATGGAGTACATCTTTTCAAGCACACTTTTTATATTCCCAAATATACTCACACGTGTCTGCACATTCATGACCAGTGCCATGTCATCTGTACAGGTTCCATGTGTCTCGTACATATAGACGTGTCTCTACTAGAGTCCTTTGCACTCTGGGGTGGTGACTGTGGTCCAAGCTGGCTTCCTGGCACACCCAGTTTTCTCAGCCTGACTTTACCCTGGCATTCTAGGGGCGAAGGCTATTCCATGTTATGCCCTTCACTTGCATCTCCTGTCTGTACTGCCCTGAAAATCATAGGAGAGCCTGGGGTTGTCTCTGAGTGGCTCTATTCAGAAATTCCCAGCTGGAGGAGTAGGGGAAGTATGTGTCTTGCTCCCCTGATCCTTAAGCAATATTTTTGGTGGCCCTGTCATTCCAACAGGCCACCCACAGGCAACAGTGAGGATTCGGGTCTAAGAAGGTGACTACAGTCCCTGGGAAGGGTGGCATTGAGCTTCTGCTGTGCTTTCTCACTCAGCCATTCAGGGGGCAGAGCTAGGAAGGAGGAGCCAGGAGCTAGATTCATCTCCTGGCACTCCTCCCTTGGGCTGTGCCCTATCAGGTTCCCACCCCCTCCCAAGCCCCAAACAGCTGTCATTAGACCTGCCTTAACCCCCTAGCTTGCTCTTGTCACCTTTCCTGGGGTCACACTCATTCCAAAGGCCTGCAAACCTTGATCCCTGGACCCCTCTCCCTAACAATCCCTCTTTCTAGGCCTTGTGGCATTGTGCTGGACAGATGGGGCTTCGGGGCTTTAAGATGGGCAGCAGCTCCACGTCTGCCCTGAGCCAGAGCCGGCCCTGAGCCTGCCCCGAGCCTGCCCTGAGCCTGCCCCGAGCCTGCCCTGAGCCTGCCCTGAGCCTGCCCTGAGCCTGCCCTGAGCCTGCCCCGAGCCTGCCCTGAGCCGGCCCCTTCTGCTTTCAGGGCTCAGCAGAGTCCTACACGAGCCGCCCATCAGACTCTGATGTATCTCTGGAGGAGGACCGGGAAGCCTTAAGGAAGGAGGCAGAGCGCCAAGCTTTAGCCCAGCTTGAGAAAGCCAAGGTGAGATGGATGAAGAGAAGGGAGCTTGTGGGCATTGTCCTCACCCCTCCCCTACCCCCATCCCAAGAGAGCCTGGGCAGACCCAGTGTCAAGTTTTGGACCAGTTACTTGCAGAGGTCTTTCTCAGACCTCACGGTGTCTTTTCCCTGTGAAGAAAGTATGGACTGTGATAGCCCTCTCCCCAGACAGCATTCAGCGTGTCTGCTGCTATTCCACACAGCTTGATGAGTGAGGGAACTCTTTCTGTCAGGGCTAGGAATGTAGCTCAATGGTAGAGTGCTTGCTTAGCTCGTGCAAGGTCCTAGGTTCAATCCTCAACACTAGAAAACAAACCTATTTTCTAGCATCAAACATACTGGGTTGGAATTCCAGCCCTGGCTGTTGTTTGTTCTGGAAGGCGGGTCTCCCTAGATGGTCCATACCTGCCTTGAACTTCTGGTGTTTCTGTTTCAGGCTTCAGAATACACCTAATCCTGATTCCCCTGCCAACACACTCATACCTACACACATCTACACACTTGTACCTACCTCCACACACACCTATACATTTGTACCTACCTACACACATATCCACACACTCATACCTATACACACACACGAGATTGAACCTAAGGCCTTATTCATTCCAGGTGAGTTCTCTACCGCTGAGATATATCCCCAGCCCTTTTTTCAGGAGGGTTTTTGCAGGTTTTTTTTTTTTTTTTTGATTTTTCGAGACAGGGTTTCTCCGTAGCTTTTGGTTCCTGTCCTGGAACTAGCTCTTGTAGACCAGGCTGGCCTCGAACTCACAGAGATCCGCCTGCCTCTGCCTCCCGAGTGCTGGGATTAAAGACGTGCGCCACCACCGCCCGGCAGGTTTTTGCAGTTTTAAAATCACCATTTTTTTTGTGGGGGCATCCAACCATGCCGTACTGAACGTGTGGAAGTCAAAGGACAACTTGGGGGCAGTTATCTGCTTCTACCAATGAACCCAGTTCAGGTGGCTTGGTGGCAGGCTCCTTTGCGTGCTGAGCCATCTCACTGGCTCTCGCTCTTCTTTAATGTTTGAAACAGGGTCTTGTTCCGTAGCCCAGGATGTCCCAGAATTTATAGCAGCCCTTCTTCCTCAGCCTCCCAAGAGGAGGAATTGTAGACTGAGCCACCACACATGGCTGATGGTAGCCCTGTGTGTGGGTGTACATGTGTTTGTAGTGTGTGCATGTGTGTACACTGGTATGTACAGGTGCACTCCCCCATGTGTGCTGGAGCAGAGGCCAGAGGCAATGTCACATAGCTTTCTCAGTTGTTCCTCAATGAACCTGAAGCTTGCCATTTTGACTAGACTAGCCAGTGAACCTTCTTGGGATTCACTTGCTCTGCTCCTGAAACCACAGTGCTGGGGTTCCAGATGTGAACTGACGTTTCTGGCCTTTACATGAGTGCTGGGAAGTTTCAGGGCCGGTCTCTGATATACCCCCCCCCCACACACACAGGGTAACTTACCCACTGAGCCCTCTCACAGCCATGATGATGACTTTTTGCCACCTTTCCATGACACCATAATGTGAACAAAACATTGTATCTGATGCTCTTGGAAGCACCAACAATGTTAAATATCAAATTCTAGGTTCTTTTAAAAGATTGCTTTATTTATTTGTTTTGAACCAGAATCTTATTATATAGCTTTGGCTGACCTGAAACTAACTATATAGATCAGGCTGGCCTCAAACTCATAGAGAACCCTCTGTCTCTGCTGCCCAAGTACACCACCACATCAAGCTTTAAGATTTACTTATTTGTTTTTAGCCGGGCAGTGGTGGCGCACACCTTTAATCCTAGCACTCAGGAGGCAGAGGCAGGTGGATCTCTGAGTTTGAGGCCAATTTGATCTACAAAGCAAGTTCCAGGACAGGCTCCAAAACTATACAGAGAAACCCTATCTTAAACTGCTCCCTCCCCAAAAAAATTATTTATTTTTACTTATGCATATGTCTGTATCCCAAGCAAGTCCAGATGCTCACAAAGGCCAGATGAAGGCAGCAGACCCTTGGAGCTGGAGTTACAGTTGACTGTGAGCCACCTGGTGTAGGTGCTGGGAAACAACCCAGATCATTTTCATTGCCGAGCCATCTCTCCAGCTCCTAAAGGCCTCGTTCTCCTTGGGCTGTCTGCTGTCATCTGTGTCTGTGGTGGTGATGGTGGTTCTTCTATCAGTGTGTTTGAAATCTCTGATCACCACTGAGCTGAGAAATATTATGAACATCACAGGCTGGTTAAAATGGATTTGGTCGGAAGGCCAAAGCTCCAGAAGAATGAATGACAGTCTGGACTGGGGCTGTAGCTTAGTTGGTACAGTGCTCGCCTATTATATGTGAGGTCCAATCCCCAGATCAATAAGAGCAGATATGGTGGCCCGGGCCTGTAATCCCAGCACTTGGGAGGTAGAGGCCCCATGAAGAAGTTCAAGATCATCCCGGGCTAGCCTAGACTACGTGAGACCTTGTCTAGAAAGAGAAAGGAAAGAAAAAAAAAAGAAAAAGAAAGAGAGAAAAAATGGGGTGGGGCACTGCTCAGATTGCTCAGCCAGTAAAATGCTTTGGTGGTCAAGCCTGACCAATTCCTGGGACCCACAGTGAAAGGAGAGAATTGATTCCTGACCACATAGGTGCTATGACATGTGCACACTCATGCTCACAAACATCTTTCCCTGTTTCTCTCCCTCTCTGTCTCTCTCTCTCTCACACACACAAATTTAGAAAAACTAAACTAAATCAAAAGTAAGCCAAGCCTGGTGGTGATGGCACACACCTTTAATCCCAGGCAGAGGCAGGTGGATCTCTGTGAGTTCAAAGTCACCCTAGTCTACAGAGAGAGTTCCAGGACAGGCCCCAAAGCTATACACAGAAACCCTGTTTTGAAAAACAAACAAACAAATAAACAAGTAAAACAAAAACTAGAAATAAACACAGATAGTGGTGAGGGTGTAATAGGCTCAGCAGTCGGGCACTTGCCTTGTGGACAAAGCCTTGGTTTGATCCCAGTCCTGCAAAACAAAATAATAACAGCAAACATCTTTAAAAATAGTTCTAAGTTTTATGGAATACTTGTTTTTGAGGTGTAGTCTTTTCCTGTAATCTAGGCTGTCCTGAAGAGACTGATCTAAATTCAGAGGCATCCTCCTGCTTCAGCCTCCTGAGTGCTTGATTACAGCCGTGAGCCCTGGCATCTCAAAATAAATAAACAAAGTAGAGATACTAACAATTCTCCACAAGAGCATAGGGTTTTGTGAAGAATTGAGGTGACCAGTGAGACTGCTTGCGCTCTGCCTGGCCATGGCGAGTGGCAGCTGTGGGGTCCTGCTGGCCACGGGAGTGGCAGCTGTGGGGTTCTGTTATTTCCTCAAGGCCCCCTCCACCGCAACAGTGTTAGATTCCATTTTTAAAGATGTTAAAATTTACCTTATACCTTATTACCTTATACCCGTGCTGCACGTGGAGATCAGGAGACAACTTGCTGGAGTTGGGTCTCTCCTTCCACCCACCACATTAGTCCTGGGGAATCGAACTCAGGTGTCTGTCAAACTTGGTGGCAGGTACCGCTACCTGCTGAGCATCTCTCCAACCCTGAATCCCACTTTTTCTTTCTTTTCTTTTTACTCAGCTAGTGTGTGTGCTCTTGTTTGTATTTGGACATGATGCTGTATGTGTGTGGATGTGCACGCTGCAGCACACGTGTGGAGGGCAGAACACATTTGTAAAGTCTGTTCTCTCCTCCACCCCTACTTATGTTCTGGGGATCAAACTCAGATTGCTAAGCTGTACAATAAACATCATTACCCGATGAGCCATCTCTGCAGTGTCCCCCCCCCCACCTTTTATTGAAAAAGTTACAGAAAACCACAGCATCCATTCAGCATACATTTTAATGAATAATTTACAAGCAAACAGCCACAGTCACTATCCCAGTCAAGCAAGGCACGGCTTGGCTACAGCCTGCTTTCGTCCACCTCATGTGTCTCTTTCTAGACCAAACCAGTGGCTTTTGCTGTCCGGACAAATGTTGGCTACAATCCGTCTCCGGGGGATGAGGTGCCTGTGCAGGGAGTGGCCATCACCTTTGAGCCCAAGGACTTCCTGCACATCAAGGAGGTGGGCCAAACACTCGGCACCTGGAGGGAGGTGGGGATGGGCTAGGGATGCCAGGGGTGTTTGGAAGTCTAGTGGGGAAAAGCTGCTGAACAGAGCCGAGCTGGGCTGAGTCTGCTGTGCAACTTTAGGCAAATCCCCTTGCCTCGCTGAGCCCCTGAGTTTTCATTGGTTAATGGATGGCAATGCCTAGGTCACAAAGATGTTGAGTGGTTTGTTGGGTCCTGAGCTGGAGTGACAGTGTAGGTGTCTGCTTTCATTGCTGCTGCACTCTCCCGCGGTATGGGGAAGTGTTCTTCCCTCCTCTAGCAGACGGTGGTCCATGCTCGGGGAGGGCCCTGGTCTTGGCATTGTCTTGGAACTTGGGAGACTTTCATCAGAGGCTGAAGTCAAGGGTGAGGGTGGTTTGAGGGAACCATCTACTGGCAGAGCCGGCCACCTGGAGGTCCCTCTGGAAGGTGGCTGAGCTTCCCACCTAGTCTCCCTCTTGGTCTCTTGTTCACAGAAATACAATAATGACTGGTGGATTGGACGGCTGGTGAAGGAAGGCTGTGAGGTTGGCTTCATCCCCAGCCCTGTCAAACTGGACAGCCTTCGCCTACTACAGGAACAGACCCTGCGCCAGAACCGCCTCAGCTCCAGGTGTCTGCCTGGGGGTGGGGCATTACTATCTTGGGAGAGGCCAGCAGAGAGGAGTCCGCAGGGCACGGAGCTGCCTGCCGTAGCCTTATGGGAGAGGAGGGTTGGAGAAGTACCAGGCATGCGCCCCGCGTCAGAACTAAAGTCCTGCAGCCCCACGCCCACCCGTACTCACCAGCTCCTTTGCTTCCCTGCCCACACAGCAAGTCAGGTGACAATTCCAGTTCCAGTCTGGGAGACGTGGTGACTGGCACCCGCCGCCCCACGCCCCCTGCCAGTGGTAAGAGCTGCCGACAACCCAGGGGAGGGAGTTTTTCCTGGGTGGGGTGGTCTCTCCACAGGGGTGGCCCCTCCTCCCAGCAATAGGAGGTACCCCAATTCTGAGTCCCCCATACACATACAATGGTACCTCTCCGTCAAGGATAGGATATCCTACAAGCTGAGCCTGTTGTGTCTCTCCTGTCCCCTCTCTGTGGTAGCTCCATTTCTCTGCCTCCCCCCCGCCCTCCATCCCCCCCATTCATTCTCCTAGCCCCATTCCATTCACCTCTTCTTTCTTTCTCCCCCATCCCATCCTTGTGTCCTGCACTGTATCTTCATGCTCATCTTACTCCTCCCTCCACCTCCTTCCCGACTGGTCCAGGTAACGAAATGACTAACTTAGCCTTTGAGCTAGACCCCCTAGAGTTAGAGGATGAGGAGGCAGAGCTAGGGGAGCAGAGTGGTTCCGCCAAGACTAGCGTGAGCAGTGTCACCACGCCGCCACCCCACGGCAAGCGCATCCCCTTCTTTAAGAAGGTAATTCTGCCTGATTTCTTGTGAGGGGAGTCAGGACCCAACTCTTGGCAAAGAAGGGGGCTGGAATGGCCCAGATGTGGTCCAGTCTTTACTTCGGGCGTCAAGGCTTTCTGCCTAGCTGGGTGTAAAGAGGGTGGGGCAGGGCAGGATGGGACCATCCCTCTCTTTATTAAACCCCACTCCTAGGATTGCAAAGGACGGGATGGTCTTCATTAGCCCCTTTTCTGCTCTATGAGTGGATGTATGAGGTGGTCTATGGATGCAGAGCAAGTCCTCAGAGGAACCTTGAAATATCCGGGAAGATAGCAAACGAAGCAGAGGGTGGGCTCTGAGTTAGGGGCTTCCATCTTTTCTAGCTCTTCCCAGAGCTAGGCTAAAGGGGGCAGGAGGCATGAGCCACTATTCCCCATTCCACGGGATGGTTGTCAGTCCTGCCTCCAGCCTCCAAGGCCATCTTTGGCTCCCCTTGGCCCCGGGGTCCCATCCCCTCTCTGGCTCTGTCTGTCACTAACACGCATGCCTGTTATTTTTCCTCGTCTACCCACTCTCTTGCTCCCTCTTCCTGTCCTGGCTCCGTCCTGGCCTTCTACCCCTGCCTGGTGCCTTCCCCTCTCTCCTTCCCTTCCCCCTCCTGGCAATCTCTGGACCCAGCCAAACAGAAGCAGAAGTCGGTGAGTATAACAGCTTTCTGTGTCTGTCCCACCCCGGGATGAGCTGGGGGACCTTCTAACACCCATCCCCACATCTTTCTCCCTTTACCTTCCCTCCTGGTCCTTCCCAGCCATTCCTCCCCATCCCATGACACCTGCATCTGGGTTTTGGGGTCAAAGGGAGGAAAAGCTGCATGTGGGAGCCTGGAGACTTAGGGAGAGGGGCTGATGCCATCTCTACTCTGGGATTTCCCTTCCCTGCTTCCCTTCTAGACAGAGCATGTGCCCCCCTATGACGTGGTGCCTTCCATGAGGCCCATCATCCTGGTGGGACCGTCGCTCAAGGGCTATGAGGTAGGAGCTCTAAAAGACTGTGCACCAGATGGGCCCAGACCTCCAGAGTGCATAGAAAGATCTCCAGAGATCCCATGTTCCCTTCCTTCAGATGGGCCCAGACCTCCAAAGTGCATAGAAAGATCTCCAGAGATCCCGTGTCCCCAAAGCCCATATCCCGTCAGAGAAAACCCTCAGAGGGGGCTGACCCTAGGGAAGGCCACTCAGGAGGGCCCAGTCTCCCAAGGGAAGCTCTTAAGAGCCTTCTTAGAGATGCCATGTATTAGACCAGTGGGGCTCGGGGTGCATTGGAGGCCCCAGGGGAGTATCCCACCTCTCTTAAAAAGGCCCCTACATCTCAAGAATTTTGAAAGAAGGTAGAAAGGGTGAATGCCCTCTCTGGGGTTTCAGAGCCTGACTTCTCTCTTCCCCTCCAATCCCCACCCCACCCCCACAATGACAGGTAACAGACATGATGCAAAAGGCATTGTTTGACTTCCTGAAGCATCGGTTTGATGGCAGGTGAGACCCTGAGATTCCCACCATCCACGTAGGGATGAACATGGTGCCTGGAGGCACTTAGAGACAAGGGTAGCATCAGGCCCGCAACCTGTGCGTGGACAGTATGTGTGTTCTTGCCCACCCAACCCCTGACCTCCTCCCTGCCTGGTCCTTCAGGATTTCCATCACTCGGGTAACGGCTGACATCTCCCTGGCCAAGCGCTCAGTCCTCAACAACCCCAGCAAACACATTATCATAGAGCGCTCCAATACACGCTCCAGTCTGGGTGAGCTGCCCCTACTCTCCCCCTCCCGGCCTGACAGGGTGGGTGGGATGTCTTCCCCTCCCCCCTGCCTCCTGGGGATGCCTTACAAGTCTCTCCCCTGACTCCACGCGCCAGCTGAGGTACAGAGTGAGATTGAGAGGATCTTCGAGCTGGCCCGGACCTTGCAGCTGGTTGCCCTGGACGCGGACACCATCAACCACCCAGCCCAGCTCTCTAAAACTTCGCTAGCCCCCATCATTGTTTACATCAAGATCACATCTCCCAAGGTGGGTGCAGGAGACTGGTTCTAATGGTAGACACGGTCTACAAGGAATGTTCCGGAGTGGGGCTGCGTGGTTTACTCTGCTGATTCTGATAGGCTGACCATCTCCAACCCCACCCCACCCCCAGCCTTAGTTCCCGTCTCTGTGACATTCATGTGGCTGTTGGGACTACACAATCTAATATGGATGGAAAGTGTTTGTACCTTCTGTATATTTGGTATTATAAATTTTATTAGGGTTACACAGGCCAGTCTCATCTCCACTCTTTTGATCCATCATTGGATCTAAAAATGAAAGAATGTGGTGTAGTTTGTTCCAGTGCCACCCAGTTATGTGGTCATGGGAAGGTTACGTCAGGCCTGTTCTGCTGTAACTGTGGTTATATGAACTTTGATACAGAGGATATTGACAGGGAGGCTGGTTTCATTTTCATCACGTTGTCCTCTGTGAGCTTTCTCCTTCTTTCCTTTCTCCTTTAATTTTTTTTCTTTTTAATCATGTATCTGTATGTGGTTGTGTGCACGTGAGTACAGATGCCCTGGCGGCCCATGGCGTAGGCTTCTCTCTGGAACTGGAGTCTCAGGTGGCTGTGACTTGTCCCACCTGGATGCCAGGAATCAATGAAACCTGCGTCCTCTGCAAGTGCAATGCATCATCCTTTTTAAAAATTTAAAAATTTTTATTTTAGGGCTAGAGAGATGGCTCAGTGGTTAAGAGCACTGGCTGCTCTTCCAGAGGTCCTGAGTTCAATTCCCAGCAACTACATGGTGGCTCACAACCATCTGTAATGAGATCTGGTGCCCTCTTTTGGCCTGCAGGCATACATGGAGGCAGAATGTTGTATACATAATAAATAAATAAATCTTTTAAAAAATTATTTTATTTCTATTTTTCAAGACAGTTACTCTGAGTAGCCCTGGCTGTTCTATAACTAGCTCTGTAGAGCAGGCTGGCCTTGAACTCACAGAGATCTGCCTGCCTCCGTGGTACTGGGCTCAAAGGCATGTGTGCCACCACCTGGTGCAGTACTGCTCTTAACCACTGAGCCATCTCTCCAGTCTTTTTGTTTTTCAAGACAGGGTCTCCCTGTGTAGCTTGAACTTGCCTCCTCTGCTCTTGATTACCAGGTATTGGGATTCATATATGTGACATCACAATGGCTCCATGAACTTCCTCTTCTAGATGTTAGTGGGGACATGAGAAACATGGAAGAGGAATTTAGGTGAAGGTTTTGTTTTGTTTTTGTTTTTGTTTTGTTTTGTTTTGTTTGAGGCAGGGTCTCTCTGTGCAGCTCTGGCTGTCCTGGAACTTGCTCTGTAGACCAGGCTGAACTCAAACTTAGAACCGCCTGTCTCTTTCTGGGATTAAAGGCGTGCACCACCACCATCCACCTTGTTCTTAATTTTTAACTTAATTAATTAATTTTGAGGCAGGGTCACACGTAGCCTAGGCTGGCCTTGACTTTACAATCCTCCTGCCTCAGCCTCTCCAGGGCTGGGTTAGGTGTAGGTCACCACACCTGGCTCTCTGAAGCTCAGGGATTTTGAGGCCTATTGCACAATTCAGTTACTGATGGCAGCTGCAGTAGTGACTGTCACCTTTGCAGTGTCCTGGGAGCTAGAAACCCTGTGCCATTGTGTTGACCTTTCTGAGTCCCCTGTCCCTGATGAAATAACTGGCATGGTGGGATTTACATACTTGAGGGCAGAGAGTTTGGAAAGATCAAATGAGGTGATGGATGCAAAACATTCCGTGGCCTAGAATGTAAAAGAGATTCCATTTCCTCTACTGGGGTTGTGGGCGTGGACTCCAAGTGCCTGGGCTTCCTACTTGGCATCACTGTGTTCTCCTGACAAGTCTTCCATCATCTCTGTGCCCTAGTTCCCCCACCTTCTACCCAGTCACGCTTCAGTGATTATTGTAAAAACTTAGTAAATGGATTGATTCTGCAGAAAGAAAGGTAGCCTGCTGCCTACCAAGGTACCATATTCTTTCTGTTAGTCTTGTTTTCAGTTTTGAAACAGGATCTCATGTAGTCTGTTCTGGCCTCCAGTTCACTGATCTGCTTGACTCTGTTTCTCTGTTTCCCAAGAGCTTAGGATTTCAAGCATATGCTGGCATGCGTCACCATACTCTGGCTTTTTGCTTCGTTGTATTGTGTTTTTGGCTTTTTGAAATAGGATTTCTCTGTAGCTTTGGAGACTATCCTGGAACTAACTTTGTAGAACAGGCTGGCCTCGAACTCACAGAGATCCACCTGTCTCTGCCTCCCGAGTGCTGGGATTAAAGGCATGTGCCACCACCCAGCTGTTGTGTTTGTTTGTTTTGAGATGGTGTCTCCTGTTTCCCAGGCTAGCCTTGAACTCACTGTGTACCAAGGATGACACTGAACTTCTTGTGTAAGTGCAGCTGTGTGTGTGCGTGTGTGCATGTGTGTATTGGTGCGTGTGTGCATCTGTGTATTGGTGCGTGTGTGCATGTGTGTATTGGTGCGTGTGTGCATGTGTGTATTGGTGCGTGTGTGCATGTGTGTATTGGTGCGTGTGTGCATGTGTGTATTGGTGCGTGTGTGCATGTGTGTATTGGTGCGTGTGTGCATGTGTGTGTGTGCGCGCGCACGTGTGTGTGTGTGTGTGTGTGTGCATGCATGTGTGTGTAGGCCAGAGGATAACCTCCAGTGTCATTTTTTTTGTTTGTTTGTTTGTTTTTCGAGACAGGGTTTCTCTGTGGCTTTGGAGCCTGTCCTGGAACTAGCTCTGTAGACCAGGCTGGTCTCGAACTCACAGAGATCCGCCTGAGATCCGCCTGCCTCTGCCTCCCAAGTACTGGGATTAAAGGCGTGCGCCACCATCGCCCGGCTTCCAGTGTCATTTTTTGAGATGGTCTGGTAGACTAGGTTGACTGGCCCTGGGGATCCATTTGTCTCCAGCCCCCAGCTCTAGAATTATAAGCCCACACCTCTATGCCCAACCTTTTATGCTGGTTGGTTGGAAATCAGGTCTTGAGACTTGGGAGGCAAGCACTCCAGCTGAGCTACCAGCCTGCTCCTGGACTTGATTCTACCTCCTGCCTTCATTTCATTGTTTCACTGCTCGGAATCAAACCCAGAGTCTTGTGAGTGCAAAGCAAGCTGTGCCAGCAGGCTATACCTCTAGTCTAATTCTATTTTATTTCAATCAATTAATCTTTATTCTCATTTTCATTATGTAGCCATGTCTGGCCGCAATCCCCAGACCCTCTTGCATTTGATCCCAGAGTACTGGGATGATAGGCTGTGCCATTCTGCCCAGCTCCAATTTTATTTTGTTTTATTTTTGTTTTGTTTGAGATGGGGTTTCACACTATGCAGCCCTGATTGGCCTGGAACTCACTATGTAGATCAGGTTGGCTCTGAACTACAGAGATCCCCCTGCCTCTGCCTCTTGAGTGCTGGGACTAAAGGCATTCGCCACTACCCTGGCCTTTCAATTTTATTTTTAATAGATTGTAAGTTTGGTATGTATGAACCCTGGATTCAGGTCTCAGCACACACTTAACAAAAAAATCTTATACCTTTATTCTATTTGCTTCAGCATCATGCCTTTCTTAATTGCCCCATACTCCGTCCTATGATACCATTTTCTGTAACCAGGAGGCCAACCAGGGTCACATTTTTTTTTCCTAAACAGGGTTTTTCTGTGTAGCCCTGGCTGTCCTGGAACTTGCTCTGTAGACCAGGCTGAACTCAGACTCAGAGATCCGCCTGCCTCTGCCTCCCACGTGGTGGGATTAAAGGCGAGCGCCACCTCTGCCTGGTGTAGGTCGTGTTTTTAATGTGGAGTAGTTCTTCTGCTTTCTTTAGATTTTTATGACAATGACATTTGCAGTAGTATAGGCCAACCATGTTGTGCACCATTTCCCAGTTTGAATCTGATGTTTTTCCGTGGCTGGATTTAGTATTGGGAGGACTAAATTGATCACGTAAAGAAGCACAGGAACAACCAGGTAGAGTGTAGCATGTGCCAGCTACTCAGGAGACTAGGCAAGGGGCAGCCAATCCCTGGTACCCAGGACCTGTTGGATGTCAGCCTGGGTGACACTGCAAGCCCTCACCTCAAAAAGAAACTCCGAACAGTGCTAATATCCAACAAGGAGTTCCTCCCTGACGGATGACAAGGGGGGCATACTAGAGGGTGAGAATGAAACCTGTAGACAGGTGTGTGTGTGTATGAGAGTATGTGTGCATGTGAATGTGTGTGTGTATAACCTGTAGACAGGTGTGTGTGTGTGTGTGTATAACCTGTAGACAGGTGTGTGTGTGTGTATATAACCTGTAGACAAGGGGTGTGTGTGTGTGTATAACCTGTAGACAAGGTGTGTGTGTGTGTATGAGAGTATGTGTGTATGTGAGTGTGTATATGAGTGTGCATGTGTGTGAGTGTGTGTGTGTGTATAACCTGTAGACAGGTGTGTGTGTGTGTATCACCTGTGGGCAAGGTGTGTGTATGAGAGTATGTGTGCATGTGAGTGTGTGTGTATGAAAGTGAGTGTGTATATGAGTGTGCATGTATGTGTATGTGTGAGCGAGTGAGTGTGTGTGTGTGTGTATGAGAGAGTGAGTGTGTGTGTGTTTCTGTGTCTTGCCTGTAGCCTTGAGCCTGAGCCTTGTGTGGTGGACATAGAGCTTGTGAGATCATTCTGGCAGAGGTGCTCAGGGCAGAGAATCATGGAACATTCCACTGATCTGACTCCAATTTCCCACTGGCTCCAACCAGAATCTGCCTTTTAGATTTGGTTCATTGCCTGTGTCCTTCTAGCTCCCTCTCTTTTCCCCAACCAGGTACTGCAAAGGCTCATCAAATCCCGAGGGAAGTCTCAATCCAAACACCTCAATGTCCAAATAGCAGCCTCGGAGAAGCTGGCCCAGTGTCCCCCCGTGAGTGCTCAGACTGGGGGGTGGGATGGGGTGTGCATTTGGGTTCTCCTCTTTCCTTCAGCCTGCATGGAAGACAGCTCCTGGGATAGGTCTTTGGGTTTAGACTGGTCCTTGGATAAAGAGGGTTGGCTGGTGGGCAAATGGCTCAAACACTCCTTAGTACGGAGCCAAGCCGTGTTTTCCTCATTCCTAGAATTCGAGGGAGTTTGGGCTGAGATCTGCTGTTCCATCCTTTGTAGGACTGAGTGTCCTTTCCTTGCGCCACTCCAGAGGCCTTTTAACCTTGTCCTTCAACCCCTTGACTCCACCCACTGCACCCAGGCCACACCTTCAACCCTTGGACACGCCCCCGCTCATCCCAGCCCCGCCCCTAACCCCACCTCCACAGGAAATGTTTGACATAATACTGGACGAGAACCAATTGGAAGATGCCTGCGAGCACCTGGCCGAGTACTTGGAAGCCTACTGGAAGGCCACACACCCGCCCAGCAGCACGCCACCCAATCCGCTGCTGAATCGCACCATGGCTACCGCAGCTCTGGCTGCCAGCCCTGCCCCCGTCTCCAACCTCCAGGTACAGGTGCTCACCTCGCTCAGGAGAAATCTCAGCTTCTGGGGCGGGCTGGAGGCCTCACCGCAGGGAGGCGACGTGGTGGCCCAGCCGCAGGAGCACGCCATGTAGCCGGTGTCTCTCCGGTCTTCCCTCCCACCCTGGAGTGCAGGGAACATGGGGAAGGAAGGGAAGAGTTTTATTTTGTAAAGAACATGGTGAGCGGCAGCCTCTGGTGTCTGTGGTTTTTGGTGGGACTGGAGACTGGCTGGTGCTGCCTCCCTGGAACTGGTCCCTTAGGACTGCATCTGCTGCCTGTTGGATCTGAGACCTTATAAGTCCAGGAACTAGGAAGAAAATCTGAGGAAGACCAATAGGCTTGTTTACTGGACTCGACATTCTTGTCTTTTTTGTTGGTGGTGGTTTTTGAAAACAGTTTCATTCTGGTAGTAGCTGGCCTGAATTTCCCAGTGTTCCAGACTTGAGGCAATCCTCCTGCTTCAGCCTCCTGGGTGCTGGAATTACAAGCTAGCACTACAGCTCCCAGCGCTTTAGATCTAACAGAGTCCAGAGAACTTGCCCCTCCCCAGCACCCTCAGTCCTGCAGCATCTATGTGCAAAGCTGGGCCTCCCGCCGTCTCCCAGGGAACAGAGTCCAGGAAAGGCTCTCCTCCCACGGAGCCACAGCCCATCTCTTGCCCACACCATTAAATGTATGGTCTGGATTAGAGCCAGAACACCATGAAGTCATTCCAAACTGCTGCATCTCAAGTGCATTTTCAGCAACAGAGCCCACTTGTTCAGTGAAGCTGAGCCATCCTGGATCTACTCCTGGCGAGCTGGGGGCCTGGCGGGCCTGGTGGGCCTGGCCTCCCTTCCCTGCCTCAGGGACCTCAGAAGCACTTTGCTCTCCCCACTCTGCCATAGAGCAGCTCCAGGAAGCAGTTTGGAAACGTGGTGCTGCAGTCTGTTTCCCATCACGCTCTACCCAGGAAGCGGTAGCTGCAGAGAGGGGATCATTTGCTTAGCCACACAGCTTGAGATGGCAGGAGCTGTCACCACTGGTGACAGGGCATTGGGCTGTGGATGGGGAGATGGGGGTGGAGACGTGGAATCATTAGCTGTTTTTAATAGGCTGCTCTGAGTCCGCTGTAGGGGGCAGGAGAGGAATCCCATCAACCTTGGAGACTCGTTTATGTGAGGAATGGCAGAAGTGTGGGGTTCTGGAAGCCTGTGACTGAGGTCTAGTGTGGGCAGAGGAAGCTGGGGTCAGTGCGTCGGAGCTGACATCTCAGTGTATTTAAAAAATTGGAGGATTGACTAACCCAAGTAACTGCTAATGAGTGGCAATACTAATGAGCTGTTAACGATGATTAACCCAGGAAAGCATTAATAACATGCTCTGAGGAACCGGTGACTAATTATTCAGGGCTCCTTAACCATGGTTACCAGGAGAGTTCATGATCAGATGAAGTTGGGTGCCCTTGGGCTGCTAGAGGAGCAGATGGTCTGAGCAAATGTTCTGTGGCCTGCCCCCAGGCTGAGCTCTAGAGCCAACTGCCCTGGTCCTGGGTGCCCCTCCCCTAGAGCCAGCGCCTCCAGGAGCCAGGCTGGTGTCTTGGCACCATCACTAACCTGCCTTGCTTTGTTGTGTTTTTCTCATCCCTGCCTGTTCTGCATGGTGCGTGCCGTCTGTCTGCTAACCAGGGACCCTACCTTGCTTCCGGGGACCAACCGCTGGACCGGGCCACTGGGGAGCACGCCAGCGTGCACGAGTACCCCGGGGAGCTGGGCCAGCCCCCGGGCCATTACCCCAGCAACCACCCACCTGGCCGGGCAGGCACCCTGCGGGCACTGTCCCGCCAAGACACGTTTGATGCTGACACCCCCGGCAGCCGAAACTCTGCCTACACGGAGCCGGGAGACTCGTGTGTGGACATGGAGACGGACCCCTCAGAGGGCCCAGGCCCCGGAGACCCTGCAGGGGGAGGCACACCACCAGCCCGGCAGGGTTCCTGGGAAGAGGAGGAAGACTATGAGGAGGAGATGACCGACAACCGGAACCGGGGCCGGAATAAGGCCCGCTACTGTGCGGAGGGTGGTGGGCCGGTTCTGGGGCGCAATAAGAATGAGCTGGAGGGTTGGGGACAAGGCGTCTACATCCGCTGAGAGGCAGGGGCAGCGTTGGGAGAGGAAAGGCTCTGAGCCCGGGGAAGGGAGAGAAGAGGGGCGCACCACCCGAGATGTATCTTGCCTCTAGGGGGCGCTGTGTCCCTCATTTTCAGATGCCTTTGGTGGTTATCATCCCAACTCCTGGGAGGCCCTAAACCTCCAGCTGTAGGTCCTTCCCTAACTGCTGTGGGTGGATGGGGGAATACCTACTTTCCGAAGTGCCCCCTTTCCCCATCTTAGGGGGCTCTCTCCCTCCCAGAGAAAAGGTGCACTTCCTTAACTCTTTCTACTCGGGGCTGTAAGTGAAGGTCCTACAAGGGGTGGGGGTGGGGCTTCTTTTACCAACATAGGGGTATTTGGGAAAGGTTGGGTGCTTTTCCTGAAGAGAGAGGCCGCTAAATCTCCCCCAAACTCCAGACCCAGGGTCCCCCACCATGTCCATCCCATAACCTGCTTTCCTAGCAGCATCCTCTGGTGGGTGAGAGACACAGTTTGGAAACCCATGTGGAGCTTGCCTTGGGGAGCAGGGACCTGTGGAAGCTGATAGTCGTGCACTCTGCCCTCCATGGTCATGGCAGGAGCCCAGGGCCTAGAACCTTGAGGACTGAGCAAATCAAGATGCTGCCCCCCACCCCCATATCCCAGCCCTTGCCTCCCCCAGGAATGAGCTTTGTCTACAGCATCCCCTGCCTGCTGCCATCGGAAGAGAGGGGCCCTCTGCATCTGAGCCCCACATCTCCGTGCCACCTGGGTGTGGCGACCATGAATATTTTGGTCCACCTCATTCTAAACCAAAAAAACTGCTCCTTCACCCTGAGGCCCCAGGGGAGAGGCTCTGTGGGTTGGTGCCCAAGAGGTGACCATCTTCCAGGAGCTGCCTGAGAACCTTGGGTCTCCCTAGGGGCCTTGGTTGCTGCTGCTTCTCTGTATTTGCCTCTTGTGGTCCTGTCCTTTCCCAGTGTCCACTTTCCCTAAGAGGTCCTGGTAGCCCCTCTCCCTTGGGGTACCACTTAGCCTCAGCATCCCTATAGTCCAGCAGCCCCACCCCGCCCCAGCATCACAGCTGGTCCAGAGAGAGCCGATTGTGCCAACGAGGACTGGGCCCTGCCCAGCTGCCCACCTCAGGGATGGGCACCTCACGCCTGTCTCGCCACCTGTGCCAATGTCGTCCCACCCCTCCACCTGGGGGCGGGGTGCAGCTTCCACTTACAGGTTAGAAGATACCACTGCCCAACCTTTCGCTCCCTGTCTTGTCCTGTGCCGTCTGTCTGTCTATTTGTCTGTACTCCTCTAGGAGAGATATTTTGCCACATATAAAACCGCAGTCCTGTCCTTTGTGGCCACCTCCTGAGCCTGTTTCTTTGTTGCCACCATAGTAATCAGCCTTGCAGCCTCACTGGCTCTCAGTAGTGGGAGCTGAGGACCTGAGGGGACGCGAAGGAGGAGCAAGAAAGCTGTGCCCGGGATTGGGCCAGAAGAGAGCTAGTATTCCTTTTGCTGGTTCTGAATTGTCTGCAAGGGTCCTTGTTCAGCCACAAGCTTACGTCTTACCCGTAGAGGTGGGGGGGGGGGTGATGCTAATTGGTGTGTGGCTCAGTGGGTGGGCTCCAGACCCCCTGGTTCACATCTTAAAGACACGTGCGCTTTTTCTTTTCTTTTTTTCCTTTCTTCTTTGACTTCCAGTGCCCTAGTAATCCACCTCACGCAGGAAGGGGTGACCTTCAGCTCCTCTAGGATTTTTTTTTTTCCCTACTGGAACTAACAGGTTTGTCTGCCTTGCTTTTGAGTGCCAAGTTTAAAGGCATGTGTCATCATGCCCTCAGCAATCAGTTTTTGGGTTTTGTATCCCCGCACCCTCCACCCCTCAGACAGGGTCTCTCACTGTAGACAAGGTTCACTTGGACAAGTTGGCCTGGAATTACTTCAGCTTCCCCAGATGCTGGAATCACAGGTGTGTGTAAGCCACCATGCCAGAATATTTTATTTATTTTGTGACAGAGCTTGCTATGGAACCCATACTGACCAGGAATTCAAGTAGTTGAGGGGGGACTCATAGTAACTCTCCTGTCTCAGCCTCCTGAATGCTGGGATCACAGGGTTACACAAGTGCCACCATGTGGGTCCTGAGAACCAGTTTCAGAGCTGAGGCTATCTGCTTCTATGAAGAGGTGGTAGTGACCAGCCCCCTGAGACATGTGAGGAGAACACAGCAGGTGGCGGGCCCCTCCACCATTGCCAGCTGGCAGGATGTGGGCTGTCACCCATATCCTGCCTCACACAGCACCTGCGAGCTTCCCCACCCTGCCAGGTCCAGTCTCTGAGGTGATGGCTCTAGAGGACTTGAATGTCTGGGTCCTCCACCTAAGTGCTTCTGCCCAGAGTGCTCAAGTGTGCAGAATGACAGCAGACCCCTGATGTTCCAGCAGATCACAGGGACAGGAACGGGGCAGGCCACTGCCAGAGTCCCTTGGGAATTTGTAGTAGAGTTGCTGAGAACCTTGCGCTCCCCTCTCCCCCACCTTCTCATTACCTTTCTAATTGTTCACTGCTGTGTTTAGCTATGGACCCAGCAGTTATTAAAGACCTCCTACATGGCGGGTACAGATCAAAATGGCAACCACAGACAGCACCCTGAGTTTCTTGCTGTGGGGAACATTTAGTTCTAGGAGTACCATTTACTTAGCTGGGGAGGTCAGAGAAGGTTTGAAATCTGGGAACAGGTTAGCTTAGCTTAGACAGAGAAGTGGGAGGAAATTCTTAATGCAGAGGAAGAGGGGACATGCATGACATGCTAGTGGCACCTGATTAACAAAGTGTGGTGGCAGCTGGTGGCCAGAGGGGGCCTGGCAGGAGCAAGTCGCAGTAGGCCTTCTGTTCTGCTAAGGTATCTGAGTTTTGTTCTGAAGCTAATGCAAAAATTGAAGGAGTGAGGGGCTGGAGAGATGGCTCAGTGGTTAAGAGCATTGCCTGCTCTTCCAAAGGTCCTGAGTTCAATTCCCGGCAACCACATGGTGGCTCACAACCATCTGTAATGAGGCCTGGTGCCCTCTTCTGGCCTGCAGACATACACACAGACAGAATATTGTATACATAATAAATAAATAAATAAATATTAAAAAAAATTGAAGGAGTGTAAGTGGCTATGGCAAGACGGGTGCGGTGTGCATCCCATAGCCTTCCCTGCAGACAGTACGGAGCCCATAGCCTTCCCTGCAGACAGTACTGACACTCCAGGTTGAAAGGAAGGTTTAACCCAGGCCACAGTGGGAGGTACTGATGGCTAGAGGGAACTTACAGGTGAGAAAATTGGGAGTCACCAAGTGTGACTTCACCAGCCCCCACAGATATTGAATTTTGTGGTGCTTGTGACCCCTAAGTTCAACTAATTCTTCTGTTCCAAGAAGCCCAGGCTTTAGAGAGAGTTGGGGCTGGGGGGTTGAGGAGGAGGAAGCAGGTGTCAACATGCTCTGATGTCCTCTGGGTACTTTTTGCCTACAGTTACATTTGCTCAGAACTTAGAGGTGGCCATTTCTAGCGACATAGATAATAGAAATGGAGAGAAAGCGTTGTTTCTAGGTAACCACAGCCCTGTATGGCTGCTCAGTCAGCAAGCTGGTGGTTGTCACCACGTGAGGATTGTAACAGCCATGATGTCAGTCAGCGTTGCTACCACCATCACTCCCAGGACTCAGAAGCAGAGGCAGGGGGGCCCTTCCTAACCGGACCTTTCCTTCGCTGCTTCTCTGACTAGCTGCTTCCATCTCTGGTGGATGCTGCCCCAGTGAGCTACAGTGGGAAAGCCATGGATCCCATTTTGCCCTAACGTTCACTATTCTGAAACTGGGCTGAGCTGAGGCCGCTTTGACCTAGGATGGGACTATGGTTCCAGTCTAATATCCTAAGTCTTGTTTTAGCTCCTATAGCGGATTTCTTGGTGAAGTCTACCTAGGCTCCCTTCTAAATAAAGCCTCAGAGAGGCGGGTCTGTAAATACTGTGGAGGCCAGAAGAGGATGCTGGATCCTTTGGCCTACATGGATGCTAGGAACCAAACTCTGTTCCTCTAGAAGAGCAGCAAGCCATGCTCGACCCCAAACGGAGTCATCTCTGTAGCCCCCAAGGAAGCTCTTCCTACCTGTTTACTTAATGTGCTTGCAGAAGGTCACTTTCAATTCTGCAATTGGGTGACAAAGCAGGAAGCCTTTCTCCCCCAGGACCACAACATCGCTGATTCTCCAGATACCCTCTGTGCCCCAGTCAAGTCTCACAGACTCAACACCAGCTCCCTCCCTAGGGCTGAAATGGAACCAACCCAGATGGACTGTGCTCTGTGGTGGTCAGTTGGGTATCATTTTAACTCTGGCCACCAAGTAGAAAGGGATGAAGTTTGTTATATGTGCCTGGGTGAGCCTCTGGAGGTTCCTGCCCAGCTTCCAGAGCTTGCATCTGTTTTGCTTTGCTCACTACAAATGCCCCAGCTTTCCTTAGGTCTCTTACACTGGTGCCCATGTTACTTTTTTTTTTTTCAAGACAGGGCTTTTTTTATGTAACAGCCCCGGGGCTGTCCTGGAGCTTGCTCTGTAGGCGAGGCTGATCTCAAACTCCCAGAGATTTGCCTACTTCTACCTCCTGAGTGCTGGGATTAAAGGTGTGAGCCCTCACCGTCAGCCCATGTTACTTTTTGATACTCTAGCTGGCATTCCCCAGGCTATAGTTTATCTCATTCTAATGCAACCCACTGACTTCTCTTCCTTAATCATATGCCAGGCATTGGACGAGGCTAGGAGGGGGTCATACGCCAGTGAACAGGATTCAAGCTCCACAGAACTCACAGACAAGGAAAGGAAACAGGCTTCCAATCTACAGACCCCAAAGAGGGAGAGGTCTATGTAGCAGCAAAACCAAGCCAGAGGCAGAAAGCGGTGGTGATGGAGCAATGCAGCTGAAGGCTTTCAGATGGAGCATTCGAGGTAGAAGAGACAGCAAAGCACGGGCACGTTTAGGAAGATCTGGAAAAGATCTGGGCCTATCTGAGTGAGGACCAGCAGTTGCAGAACTTGGTGGAGCAGGCTGCAAAGGCAGGCAGGGGCTGCTTGTGGAAGCCCTTGAGAGCCACAGTGGGCAGCAGAGAGTCATTGAAAGCTTATGGAATGGCAGTCAGTGACCATGTGTGTCCTTAAGACAGGTTGGCAGGGCATGAGGAGGAGGAGGTCCCGAGCACAGCAGAGGAAGTAGAGACAGAAAGACCAGCTGAAAGGTGGCTGCCTTAGTAGAGAGCTGGAGGAGAGGCTGGAGGAGGCCCCTTCCAGGGTGTGTTGGTGGGAGAGATGACTGGAGCCACTCTCCTGGAGTCTGCCTTGATTTACAGTCTGGGAGAAGACTATCAAAAATCTCCAGTTTTCTCAGGGCCAGAGAAAAACCGTGGAGTCCGGGAATCTGAGTTTCTCAGCATGAGGTCAACTTGCCTTTTCCACTTCTCTTTGGGTTTTCTGGGTTTTCCCCAAGTTGTGAAGTTCACAAACAACACATCCCTTCCCCTCCTCCTGGACCTGCTGTTTCCCTTGTGACCCATGTCACCCTCTGTTGGGTCTGCCCATTGCCCACTGCTGGAGCCTGAGGGTCAGCCACTTAAAAGGTCGAGGCAGGAGGATTGCTGGAATCCAGGAGTCTGAAGTCAGCCTAGGTGACGGATCATATATTGAGGGTCTTCGAAAAAAACAAACCGAAAAAGATCAACAAATAAAAAGACCGTTTCTCCTCGGCTGAGAGAGGTTGGTTGGTGTTTTTTGAGACACTCTCACTAGGAGCCCATGCTGGGCTTTGACTCCAGATCCTCCCTGCTCAGCCTCCCTAGTGCTGGAATTACAATTTATGCTATGACCCCTGACTCCTCCCCTCCGTAGGGCCACCGGCGGGATGATCTTGTCTTCAGACTTCCAATCTTGGTCAACTGCCAGAGAAGTTTGTTTGTCAATGGATCACAGAAACAACTGATTTCTCCAGAAACTGACCAGGGGTACCCACAAGAAGAAGAGACCCCTGTTCTTTCCTAAGGGAGCCCACTTTGTCTGGGCCCAGGAAACTCCCTACTAATGAACCAGCTGGAGCCCTGACAAAAGCTAGGATGTGACCCGTGAAGCTGCTGGACATTATTATGAATTTATGTTATTTTTTTGTTTTGTTTTCTGTGCAACCCTGGCTGTCCTAGAACTTGCTCTGTAGACCAGACTGGCCTCTAAACTCACAGAGATCCACCTGCCTCTACCTCCTGAGCGCTGGGATTAAAGGCGTGCGCCCCCACACCTAGCCACCTAGTCACTAAAATTTTTACTTATATTTTTAATTATATGTGTGTGTGTTTGCGCGCGTGCGCGCATGTGGGTATGTGCAGGTGTCAATAGAGGCCAGAAGCGCCAAACCCCCTGGACCTGGAGTCAACAGAGAGTTGTGATCTGTCTGACGTGAATGCTAGGAACAGAATTTGGGTCCTCTGGAAAAAGCAGCAATGCCCTAACTACCAAGTCATTTCTTCAGCCATTATTGTGATTTTAGGCATGTCCAACCTGTGATCTGTAGGCTGCATGCAATTCATGTAGCCAAGAATAGCTATGAATGTCACCTAACCCAAAATGGGGAAACTTAATAACATGCAATTAGGAGCTGGAGAGATGCTTCAGCAATTAAAAGCACTCGCTGCTCTTCCAGAGAACCTGAGTTGGGTTCCGAGTATCCAAGTTGGGATCTGAGTACCTCTTCTGGCTTCCGAAGGTACATATACACAGGTAGTCACACATGTGGCACACACACACACACACATATGTAAATGAAAAAATAAATCTTAAGGAGCCCGGCTTGGTGGCACCTGTCTTTAAACCGAGCACTCTGGAAGCAAAGGCAAGTGGATCTCTGAGTTCGAGACTGGACTCAGCCTGGTCTGCAAAGCACAAAGCAAGTTCCAGGATAGCCAGGGCTACACAGAGGAACCCTGTCTCGAAAAAACAAGACAAAAAAATCTTTTTAAAATTACGAGGGTTTTTTGTTGTTTGTTTTGTAACTCAGTTGCAGGGCTCTCTAGTGTGGAACTTTGTAGATGACAATGCTGTGTCGCAATGTCAGAAAGTTGCACCGCTCTCGGAGGGTTTCGTCCCGGCGGTGGCTGTTGGGGGAAAGAGCAAGCGTGTGCATTGCACGTTGCTAGTTAGCAATTCTTCTAACTCGCCGCTCTGGAGCAGATGCTACAAACTCCTCAGTTTTCTCAGAGTGAAGAGGACCCTGGGTTTTTCCTTGCACTTTCAAGGTCCTGGTCAGGTTCCTGGTCTTCACGATGACGTCCTTAGCACCGGTGAGTTGCTGGCGTCCCGAGGGATTCCCAGATCTGGGGGGGGGGGGGGGGGATGACGCTTGGGGTTTCCCCCAGCTGATAGGAGCAGCAAGTCCGGCCCTCCCCCAGGCCGGGCTTTGAACGCTTGAGGCTACATCCAGCCGGGGAGGCCACTGAGTCCCCCACATCCCTAGACCACCAGTTCCAGGAGTGCCATGGGACAGCTGATAGCCAAACTGATGCGAATCTTTGGGAGCCAGGCGCATCGGACAGCCCAGTGACCTTTTTGAGTCCGCTGTCTTCTGGGGCTCTTGGGATTTGGGGGTCGTCGGGGAAGACGGACTAGAACTTTGGGTTCTAGAGTTCATTCTGTGAATTCCCATATGCTCCATGGCCTCCTCTCCGCTCTCCCCCCTCGCACCCTTCCTGTCCCTGCCCTTCAGTGTGCTCAGTGCATGGGGGTGGGAGAGCTTCCTGCCCCACCCCACCACCCGGCTGTGCTGAGCGCAACCTGGGTAAGCCAATTTCCTCCGATGGTGACTTCGAGGCCCCCGTGCTTCGGACCCTCAGACAATCGCTTTCTAGAAATGTGGAGAGGGAGATGGAATGGAGTCAGCTCACTTTTCCACATTCCTGGAGAGGTTCTGGGGTCCGGTCCAAGGGCAAGTGAAGTGGTACAGTCCTAGTCCGCGGGGGATGCGTTTCCCAGCGCACCCTAGAGATGGTGGGCGGGGAACGGAACGACGGATCGACACGACCCAGAAAACTGAGATACTGTCAAAGTGGTTAGGTTCGGAGATTTCCAGGAGAGGGGTGGAGCCGGGAGAGGAGGCACCCAGGCAGGGAGGAGGGTGAGGACAAGAAGCCTCCTGGGGGCCGGGCGGTGGTGGTGCACGCTTTTAATCCCAGCACTCGGGAGGCAGAGGCAGGCGGATCTCTGTGAGTTCGAGACCAGCCTGGTCTACAAGAGCTAGTTCCAGGACAGGCTCCAAAACCACAGAGAAACCCTGTCTCGAAAAACAAAAAAAAAAAAAAAAAGAAGAAGAAGAAGAAGCCTCCTGGGGACACCCAAGCCCATTGTTGTCGGGGTTAGCTCTGACCTTGCCCTTCTCCTGGATGCCTCCAGAGCACAAAGTCATCATCGTGGGACTGGACAATGCAGGAAAGACCACCATTCTCTACCAGTTGTAAGTAACGGCAGGGCGAACAGAGCGGGCTGGGCCTCACACCAGACTGATAGTCATTTGGACCAATCATCAGAGCCCTTCCCTGGGTTCCTGGGCAGCGGCAGACGAGAATGATGGGAGGACGCTGGTGTGACCTTTCGGACTTAGTGGCTGTAGGCCTGGATTTGAATTCTGCAAACTGTGGGTGACCCCCAGTTCCACCACCTCCCGCAATCAGTCTTGATCTCACGCACCTCAGTCCTGGCAGGTTTGGAACGCCAAGAGGTCTATCTCCTCGCTGCTCTTGGCGCTCCCTGGCGGCAGGGCCCTTCTCACCCTTGCACCTCGCACTTAATCACTCAATTGTTAACTGCATCCCGATCTTCAAATCCCTGGGCGGACCATGAGCTCCCCCGAAGCTCTGCAGCTCCGGGTCTATCGGACAAACTGCGCAACCAGCCACCCGCGCTTTCTCTCCTGATTTTTGCTTCTCTGACAAAGATATATATTATATATATTAAATATTTATTATAAAATTATATATACTATATTATATTATAAATTATTATATAAATATATATTATATATAAATTAAATATTTATTATATATAATATATATTTATATTATATAAAGATATATAATTTATATATATAAATTGATTAATATTTAGAAAAAGAAAGGTCTGGCGGTGTTGGTCAAAGGCGCTTAGGGGATTGCTTGCCTAGAATTCTGGAGACTGTAGATTCCTGACATCATTAGATTAGAAAAGAAAAATTCAAACAATACGAAGTCCTCACTCCCAATCTTCCTCCTTATATCTTCTTGGTAAGCTTTCAGAAAACACGTGTAAACCGGACATAGTGCTCCTTGCCTACAATCATGGCCCTCTGGAGGTTAAGACAGGAGCATCTCATATTTGAGGTCATAGAGATACGACCGTTAAAAAAGAAAAGGAAAGGAAAGAAAAAAATAGAAAGAAAAACAACCCCCAGGGGGAAAAACAAAATGAAAACAAACAAAATTTTGTTTTTTTTTATTTTATTTTTTTGCCTTTAAACCAGTAAAGGGTCTGATGGTCCTCACTCGGATTTACGTGGTTCTTCACAATCCCACAATTCCAGTGTGGTCCACAGACCAGAAGCCTCTAAGATTGTTGTCTGGGGTCGCAGGCCAGGCCACACTTGGACCAACTCACACCTTTCTTTTCCGACACCAGTCACAGGATGTCCACCAGCGACAGTTTGGTCGCCCGGGGCTGAGTTGTTCTGAACTGAACTCAGCCACTCTGGGAGTAGAGGTAAGATGCCAAGAGCTGGGCTGAGACCTCAGAACCTTCTTTTGCCTCTCTAGCCTGAGCAATGAGGTAGTTCACACATGTTCCACCATTGGTAGCAACGTGGAAGAAATTGTTCTTCAGAAGACCCGCTTCCTCATGTGGGACTTAGGGGGCCAGGAGGCTCTGCGCTCCTCCTGGGACACTTACTACTCCAGTACGGAGGTGAGGAGGAAACCAGGTCTGGGAGGTCCAAGAGGTGACTGCATTAATCCCCTTGCTAGTCACTATACTCTCTGAGCTCAGCTTCTATCACCTGGGATGTGACTGACTAACCGCTACTCAAGCTGGGCTGAAAGGGAACAATAAACAATGTGTGAGATACTTAACTGCATAGCATTCGTGAAGATTTCTGAATCCTAAAGAGCAAACCATTAAAAAAATAAAAATTTAAATATATAAATAAAAATATAAAGGAGAGAAGGGCATTGGCAGCATGTACCTTTGATCCCAGCACTCAGGAGGCAGGGGCAGGCAAATCTCTGTGAGGTCAAGGCCAGCCCGGTCTACAGAGCGAGTTCCAGGATAGGCTCCAAAGCTACACAGAGAAATTGTGTCTTGAAAAGTCAATATATATAAGAAAGATTTTCAAATCCTAAAATGAGTGTGGTGGTCCATGCCTAGAATCCCAACACTTAGGGGACAGGGACAGGTTCCAGACTGCCTTGGGTTGCATACCAAGATCTTGTTTCCAAAGAATAAAATATAAGTTGATTAAAATGGGTCCAGCCTGGTGCAAGTGGCAGGCTGCAGAGTTCCTTTTCCGTGGGACTGGGACTTGGGTAGGGCAGAGGCCTAACCGTCGATAGGAAGCATCTTCACCAAAGAGAAAGCTTGTAGCTCACGTCTCGCTCCTGCTGGACAGTTTGTCATCCTTGTGATCTACAGTACAGACCGGAATCGGCTGCCGACCGCCCGGGAGGAGCTGTATAAGATGCTGGCCCATGAGGTAATCCCCCTGAACCGGGAAGCTACTGGTGAGACTAGCTATGTGCTCCCAGGCTGGTCGGTGCCCTCAGAACAACGGAGCCCAGAAGCCAGAGTTGCTGGCTCAAAGCTCGCCACCACTCCCTGTGAGACTCTGAGCAGGCTGCTTGGTTTCTAATAAATTGTCTCACTTCTACCAATAAGGAGGACCGTTACATGGGGATGGCGGCTCTTACAAGTTACATGGGGATGGCGGCTCTTACAAGTTAGATGGGGATGGCGGCTCTTACAAGTTAGATGGGGATGGCGGCTCTTACAAGTTAGATGGGGATGGCGGCTCTTACAAGTTAGATGGGGATGGCGGCTCTTACATGCAATCTGGACAGCTGAGGCTGATGGCTATGAGGTTGAAGCCAGCCTGGGCTCTACATAGAGTTCCAGGCCAGCCTGGGCTACAGAGTAAGAGTCTGTTTGTTTTGTAAGCCACAAACAAGCAACAATAATAACAAAACAATGTCTGAGGTTCTTGTAACCACCCTGAAAGCAGTCGTAAAACATCCCAGGAACTGATGGGGTTGCTAATGTCGGGGTGGGCCATGGGCCTCTCTTGCTAAGACAGTTGGGCAGGGATCCCAGAGGACTCTTGAGACTGTGGGAGGGAGGCCTGGCTGGCTGACCTGGGTGGGGCTCTTCTGCCCACAGGCGCTTCAAGATGCCTTAGTTCTGATCTTTGCCAACAAGCAGGATGTGAAAGACTCCATGAGCCCAGCAGAGATCTCCCAGTTCCTCATGCTCAGTGCCATCAAGGAGCACCCGTGGCATATCCAGGGCTGCTGCGCCCTCACCGGAGAAGGGTCAGTTCCCCGCCTTTCCCTGGCCTGGCCCAGCCAACGGGCAGTAGGTTACAGGAACCCCTCTCCTGTCTCCTTCCAGTCAGGATGTGGCCCACAGTTGACTCCAGGCTCAGTAAGCTGGACACAGGCCCATAACTAAGGCCCTGGGAGCCTGCAGAGTCCCTGTGCTCCAAGAGCTTGCTCTAATGGTAAGCACTAAGACTCCCCCCAAACAACAGGGATGGTAGGGACTGAGAAACTCTTCGGAGAAGTGGATACTGTGGCAGAAGGGCCAGGGTAATCGATTTTGTCTAGGTGGTGGGGACAGCTGAAATCCTAGTGAAGAGGGAGAAGCTGTGGAAAGAATTTGGGGGACCGGCCTTCAAGGCGGAAGTCACCGACTCTCTGACTGTTTCTTTTCTTTCTTTCTTTCTTTCTTTTTTTTTTTTTTTTTTTTTTGGTTTTTTCGAGACAGGGTTTCTCTGTGGCTTTGGAGCCTGTCCTGGAACTAGCTCTTGTAGAACAGGCTGGTCTCAAACTCACAGAGATCCGCCTGCCTCTGCCTCCCGAATGCTGGGATTAAAGGCGTGTGTTACCATCGCCTGGCTTCTCTGACTGTTTCTTACTAGTCAAAGGAGGGGGTCACACTTCCCTCTCCCCTAGTTCTGCAGGGAGTGACTGGCATGATTTCTTCATTAAGCTTTTCTGAATGCCTTTGTGCCAAGTACTGTTCCAGGAATTAGAAAAAATTAAAACAAAATAGTGATGAATGAACCAGACAAAACTTCCTGCCTTGGGGCTGGGACGTGGCTGCACTCGCCTGAAGCCCTCAACTGTTTATTGCAGACTTGTAATACTTGGACGGTAGAGGCCAGAGGATCAGAAGTTCAAGGTCATCCTCGACTATCCAGTGAGGGCAAGGCTAGACTGGGCTAAGTACCAAGTCCCTACCACAAAAATCAAAACAGAGAAAGCAAGTGAGACACAGGAAGGTGGAGAGCAGAAAGAAAGGTGGGCACACGCCCTTGATCAAATACCTCAGAGTGTGAAGGGCTGGACTTCTCCAAAAGGGCCGTCCACGAGGCCTGGATATTTCCTTTTTTTTTTTTTTTTTTTTTTTTTGGTTTTTCGAGAAAGGGCTTCTCTGTGGTTTTGGAGCCTGTCCTGGAACTAGCTCTTGTAGACCAGGCTGGTCTCGAACTCACAGAGATCCGCCTGCCTCTGCCTCCCGAGTGCTGGGATTAAAGGCGTGCGCCACCACCGCCCGGCTTGGATATTTCCTTTTATCTCCCTGTCTAGATACTTTTTTGAAAAAAAGAAAACTTTAAATAAGTGAACCCAAGGAACCACAGATTTCTGGCAATATGTTTCTCACCCCATTAGGGACTCTCATCTTCTCCCATCTACATTCTAATTCACAGTACTCCCTGGGCCCCCGCGTGCCCTTCCCTGAGCCCCCACGTGCCCTTCCCTGAGCCCCACGTGCCCTTCCCTGAGCCCCCACGTGCCCTTCCCTGAGCCCCCACGTGCCCTTCCCTGAGCCCCCACGTGCCCTTCCCTGAGCCCCACGTGCCCTTCCCTGAGCCCCACGTGCAGTTCCCTGAGCCCCCACGTGCTGTTCCCTGGGCCCCCCACGTGCCGTTCCCTGAAACCCCGCGTGCCGTTCCCTGGTACCCCACGTGCCGTTCCTTGGGCCCCACGTGCCGTTCCTTGGGCCCCACATGCCGTTCCCTGGGCCCCCGCGTGCCGTTCCCTGAGCCCCCACGTGCCGTCCCCTGGAACCCCACGTGCCATTTCCTGGAACCCCACGTGCCGTTCCCTGGGCCCCACGTGCCGTTCCCTGGGCCAGGCTAAGCTGGGTGATGACAGACATGGCCAAGTTTCCACTTCTGCTCTGGGGCGTTTTTCACCTCATGAGGAGCTTGGCTCTTCCCAAGCCTTTGAGGTCACACTGCTACTGCCTCTAGTGACAAAACAGGACACAGAAGTCTGGCCCAGAGACACTGCTCAGGGGCTCAGGAAGGTGAGTCTCCGAGCTGCCTCAGAGGAACTTCTGGAGTTACCTAGACCTCTGACTCCTTACTTTTGGGAATTCATTTAATGTCCATCCCGTCTGCTAGACTGTGAACCTCGTAGGACTTCTCCCCAGGAGCCCCAGCCCCCAGCACAGCGGTTCTGCTGTGCTCTGGAATTCAGCTCACTTCCCTTCTACCATTAAGTGATTGGATATTACCTTGGCTACCCTCTCAGTCCGTCCCAGGCCGAGGCTTGGAGCTTTCCAGCCCTCATCTTCTGGGAAATGCTGACGGTCCTTCGTGCCATCCCTTCCTCCCTGCAGGCTGCCAGCTGGGCTTCAGTGGATGCAGTCTCAGAACACGACCAACTGAAGTTGCCGCCTGAGGCCTACCAGAAGCCACATGGTTAGCACCGGTGACACACCCCGTCATTTGCTGGTGGAAGCGGGGTGTCTGGCTATGGACAGAGAGACTGCCACTGGCCCCTCATTTGTCACTGAGGAGCTGGATCAAGGACTTCAAGATGGTGCTGGCAGAGCCATAGATGAAACTGTCCCCGACTCTATCACTGAAGGTGTGAGGAGACAAGGGGAACCTGCTGGGTGTGTTGGGGGACCCCCCCCCCCCCAGCCTTCACCTTCTGTCTGCCTGGAAAGCAAGAGATTTTTGACACTGGGCCATATTCTTTGGACAAAGGAGATCCCGATAAAGGAGCCAATGGGACCGGGCCAAAACTTGCCTGGTGTGGTGAGATGGATCTGTGGAGGAACCTTCCAGACAGAGGCAATCCTTCACACTGCAGGAATCGATGCCCCCATCCCCCTCCCCTTTCTGCTCCCTCTTGGGTGCTAACTCTGACTCCAGCTTTTGGGGTCTAAGTCACCACGTGGAGTCTCTCAGTGTTCTTCCAGTGTGAGTTCTTACTCCTCTCAAATGTCAAGGTTTTCTCCAGGACCTACTTATTTGTCTATGGGTCATGATTTTTTTTTAAACATTGCATTAAAATTTTAAAAGTGAAGGTATTTAGTAAGTGTCGTTGAAAACGTCTCTCCTCTTATTTCCGTCCGTTCCTAAAACTGGATTTTGTTTTTTGCCTAAAGGTTTGATGAGATTCACCTTGGAAACGGGGTTGGGGAGCCGGCTGCTTCAACGCTCCTTTTGGTTAGAGAACTTGGCTATGGTTGGCCGGGTTGAAGGGCATTGGTACCGGCTAACCAGGACTGGGGTGGGGGATGGGGGTTCTTGGCCCTAGAGTTAGTGGTGATGAGAGGCTTGATAATGATCCACTAAGAAGGGGACCCCAGAGGGAGGAAAAGGCCCCACTGTCCTTTAGAGGTGATGCTAAAGATGGATTGGAGGCCCTTGCTGCCGTTCAGGGATCTAAACAGGATAGCATGTCCCTTTTGCAATCAGTCAGTGGACCTCTAGGTATCTTCAATTTTGTAGTTTCCCTGAGATGTTGTTATGAAAGAAAAACTTGTGAATTCTAGACATTTCGGTCATACTTTATGTTTTCATTAGGTTATTTTTGACATAACAAATGTTCTAAAAACACAGCAGGGACCTAAAAATCTTTTCCATAGAAATTCATTCGGATAAAGCTTGCCTAGCACGTTGGGGGTATAGCTCAGTGGTAGAGCATTTGACTGCAGATCAAGAGGTCCCCGGTTCAAATCCGGGTGCCCCCTCGCAGCGCATAGTTGTGCAGCTTCTTTTGCTAAGCTGACCTAACTTGAAACTTTAGAGAGGGGTACTCCCCGAGTCCCCCGCATTTTGCTGACGCGGTGGGCCGACTGCTACCCCGAGGCAGCCGCTCGTGAACCGCGTGGAGTGGGTGGGTGTACTCAGGTGCCGGTGACCTCGACGGCTGTCCCTCGTCAGGGAGAGCTGAGTGTCTAGGGTCGGGCTGAGGTTGGAGGCAGAAGGTCGGGAGAAGTCGCGTGAATGTGTAGGATGGAGAGGAGAGGGCACGCGGAGAAATAGTGGCGAAGCTGCAGAGTGGGACCCCGCCCAGAGGCGCTCCCCGGCCGCCAGGGATCGTCTGTATCTTTCTGGCTACGTTTTCTCGGACTGGCGGAGGACTCTCAGAGCGCCAGGAAACACTTTTTGTTTTCAAGCAAGCAGTCGGCACGTTAGTTCCTTATAATTCCTGAGAGCTTCAAACACAATTCTGCCCTTTTAGAGATGCTTTATTGCGCCTGCGCGAGAATCACATTTAGTTGTTACTGGCGCGCACTTACCGGCAGAGGGGGTATAGCTCAGTGGTAGAGCATTTGACTGCAGATCAAGAGGTCCCCGGTTCAAATCCGGGTGCCCCCTGCTGTATGCTTTTCAACTTTTACACATCCAACATTTATTTAGCTGGCTTCCTTGCGTTCCAGGTGTTTTTATGGTAACGTTTCGTTCTCCAACTTCCAGATAGTCGGGAAGCAATGACGGCGGTAGCGTCTCTCAGAATTTGATCACTAGCAACACTTTATGTCCGTGCTAGAAATGAAGATTCCTGTGAAGTAGCCTGGGTTGGGGCTAGAAATGTGTGTTCTGAGGAGAGCTCCAGGCACACGCCCAAGTTCTAGAGGCTTGCGTTTAGAAACTTGTAAACAACACTTCTTCTAATACTTCCAAGTTGCTGCTATTGCCTGACCCCTAATAAAAGAGCTTATAAAACTGCAGCGCGGGCACCAAGCCTGGCGGTGCACGAAGACACCAGACCCAGGTTGGAGGTCCGTCAGGGGACGCTCTAGAGGCTCTCCATGGCGCCTGCGCCGGCGGAAAGAGACCGGAGAGCTGCAAAACGCTAACCCGCTGGCTCCTCACAAGTCCACTGGGTGGCGGTAGGAGGCCGCAGCTGGAAAAGACAGCCTATTCGGTTCTCTCCGTCCCCCGCCCCGGGCTGTCAAGGGAGAATTCAGGTTAGGATTTGAGGATTCTTCAGGTTAGGATTTAGGAATGCTGTGGTCCGCTTGGTGGGGCTCACACCAGTAATCCTCTCAGTAACCAGAAACAGGAAGCTTGGTCCTGAGTTCGAGGCCAATCTGGTCTAAAATGCGATTCCCTGTCTGGAAAAAAACAGCAGTAACAACCAAAAACTTCTGCTGCAGCGCTTGCCTTGGCCCCTAGTATTCCACAAAGGGTTGAGGTCGGAGAGAGGCAGCCTCTGGACTCTTGGAACAGCAAGAGAGTGGAACTGTATCCTGAAAGAGGAGAGAGAATTTGGTTTTCATTTCCTTCCTCGGGTTCTTCCTTCGGTCTCCGAGTCAGGCTACCCACCTACTCAAGACCACAGGCTACTTTTCCTGTCCCCCCTCCCCAGCACCCTCCTTCTCGGGATGTGCCCCATGAAGCAGCCTCTGTACCCTTTCCTTCCGAGCTCTTCAGATCTCCAGCAGGGAGGAAGCCAGGGCCCCTCAGTCTTCTCCACTCTCTAGGCCCCAGTTCTTCGTCTTCACACAAAGTAGGTCACAGGCATCTTTGCGCCTTGACCTGGTTCTGTGCCGTCTATCAAATCTCCTAAATTGCGGGTATTTTTATTCTCTCCTGGAAGGAAAAAAAAAAAGGTGCCCTATTCCCAGAGTACGGTTGGTGGCAGTGGGCACCACTTCCAGGCGCTGGGGTCTAACTTTGACTGGGTCTGATCTCCTTGGGGAGGGGGGCATCCGTGCTGCTCCAGAGTGGGAATGTGCCAGATTCCTGCACCTGCATGTCCTACCGGGCTGGGGGTCGGAGGAGAGCCGGTGTTGGAGATGAGGTGTGAAGCAATGAAATGGGGGATGCAAGTCGCGCCTCTGCTGGGGCAGAAGCTGGGGGGCTCGGCTGCGGGCGAGTCCTGGTGCGTGGGTCGGTGTCTACGCTTAGGCAGAACACCAGGAAGCCACAGAAGTCTAAGAACCAGCTCAGAAAGTCACATGCCCTAGGGATGAGCGGCAGGAGCCAACGGCCCAAGTAGGGGCGCTTCCTGGGGGTCCTCCACTTTGGCCTTTCCCCGGTCTTCTGGGCCAGTCGCGTTCTGGTGACCAGAGGTGTCTCGGCGCGGTCCCGGGTCCGGCGGGGCGCGGCGCGGAGCTCCGGGAGGCGGGGACCCCGGCGTCGCGCCCCGCCCTCCGGGCCCTCCCGCCCGCGCTCCCCGAGGCCGCAACGCCGCGCTTTGCTCGCGGTGCCAGCTCCGCTCCTGCTTCCCACTCGCCCAGCCTGGGGTCGCTTCCTCTTCAGCCGCCACCGCGGGGACCCTGAGGCCGTCCGCGCCCACCATGCGGGCTCAGCTCTGGCTGCTGCAGCTGCTGCTGCTCCGCGGGGTCGCGCGCGCTCTTAGTCCCGCAACACCCGCAGGTAGGGCGCGCGGGCAGGGCAGGTGCAGACTCACCAGCAGGGCGCGGGGTATCGTCCGCAGGAGGCCGGGGGAACAGGGAGACAGGGACCCTACTTTCCCTGTGTGCGCACAGAGGGTGTGCTTCTGTCGGAAGGACGTGGAGGAACCCAGCTGGGGGGGTCCCCTAAAGAGTCATAGGGACCGCGATCATTCCAGAGAGGCGGTTGCCTTTCCATGCTCTTTCCTGTTGCCACCCTCAGCTGCTCTAGACTGGGTTCCAGTTGGGCTTGAAGACAGCGTGGGAGCCGCCGGAGGATGGGGACACCCTAGCCCGTCTTTCTCTCTGGGCACCAGCGTGGTCGTCTAACTTGCTTCCCCTACCTATTGCGCACGGGTGGAGAGGCAGGGGCCCTAGGAAAAAGCAGCTTGCTGTTCCCGAACCTCCCAGCGTCAAGGGTCTCCTCCTGTATGGTTCTGCTTGGCTCTCAGTTGCCCTGTCTGCGTCGGGGGTGGAGATGGGGGCTGGAAGGGGGGAAATGGGGGAGGAGCTTCCATTCCGCACACTCCTCTTTCCCCTAGACCAGTTTCTCAAGCCATTTCTTCCACTTGGAGATGCTTTCGGAGATCTATCTTGAATCCCTCATGTTATCAAGAAAGGCCATTTTTCAATACATAATTTAGGTTCTGCACACAGACTTCCTCTGGGACTGGGAATAGAGAATTGGGTGGCCCTCATTTGGGGTCAGGGAAGGGGTAGTTCGTTGGGTGTAGCTATTGGCTGTTGTGTCAGCATTGGCCCTAACTGTGTGACTTTAATGATCACAATATGTTATTCAAATGAATCTCTGTTGGGATGAGAATGGTATGGCGCGGGGGGGGGGGGGGGGTTGCTGGTGATGACAGTGGGGGCAGAGGGCAGAGAATCACGTGTTCAGAGACTGGTGTGGAGCCTACAGAAGGTGGCCAGACACTTGGCTTCTAGTTCTGCTGTCTCACTTACTATGTGACCTTGGGCAAGTTACTTGCCTTCTCTGGGCCCGTTTCTTGATTTATAAAATGAGGTTAC